CGGGTGGGCAGGGGGACGATGTCTAGGGCTGGTTCTTTGCTTCGGGGTCTTTGTCGTAGATGTAGCTTCCCACACCTCCGGTGTTCACACCTGCACAAGGGGAGATGCAGGAGGGTGAGGACCTGAGCACGAAGGCAGCATGCTCCAGGGAGATGTCCCCTCTGGGCAGTGGCATGAGCATCGAGCTCCCTATCCCACATGTCCCCAGGCACTCACCCTTTGGCCCAAAGAGGATTCCATAGCAGGGCTTGTGGCAGTATGGCTGTCCATCATGCTGTGCAGGGCAGAGAGAGGCACGTGTCATCTAGGGTGGGGGGCCAGGGAAAAGCCAGTCCCCAGGACATGTCCTCCTGGCTTGTCCCCCAGCACCCCACCCAGAGCTGCAAAGGCTGCTCCTGCCAGCCCCGGCCTGCCCCCCTGCACAGGCCGGTTTTTTCTGCCCCACCAGCACGGCACAGCACGGCTCAGCCATGCCTTGCTGGCATCCCCCATGTGTGCTGCCAGGGCTCACGGGGCCAGGACATCCTTACCTCAGCATGGCCCCCCGGGGTCAGCGTCTTGCTGCAGCGCTCGCAGCGTAGGCAGGGACGGTGCCAGTCCTTCCCCAGTGAAGTCACCTTCTCAGCTAGAGTGGGGACAAAGAGGGAAGGTCACACCACCCCCCTGCACACACACTGAGGGGAAGCACACCCCATGGGGACATCACCTATACATATAAAATCCTGAGATAGCCTTGTGCACCCCAGCCTCCTGTGCCTCTCCCACCCCTCTGCTGCCTTGCAGGTGACAGAGGGTGGCCAAGGACAGCTACTAAGACCACACCACCCACCTGGGAGGTGACAGCAGAGGACATGATGCAGATGAAGCCCTGCATCCAGGAGATCCTCCAAGAGGACGCATTGCTGCAGGCTTCTTGGGCACATCCCTCTGTGCCCCCAACCTCATCTCTGATCCAAAACCACTCTCAGTCCCTCTACGTGCCCCAGGGGTCTGCATGAAGCCACAGCACTGTGGTGCCATGCCAACTTGGGAATGCACCCACTGCCCACTCACCACCTTACCAAAGTAGACTCTCTTGCCACAGCGTGGGCACATATTGGGCTCCCCAGTGAAGGTGGTGACACTGGAAGCTGGAAGGAGAGAGAGCATGGGCATGGGAAGCAGAGAGACATCTCAGCCAGGAGACGAGTGCAGAGGACACCACACACAAACCCTGCACCCCGCACCATCACTGAACACTGAACACCACAATGGGGGGCCAGGCTGCCAGTCCTGCCTGCCCCTCACCTTTGCTGGGTCCCTTGGGAGGTGTGGCATTCACTTTCTTCTCCTCCACCTTCACTGGGTGCTCAATGGGTCCTGGTGCAGTCTGTCCCTCAATCTGCGGCTTCTCATAGATGTAGGACCCAGCACCGCCAATGTTCACTCCTGCAGATGGGCAGAGAGAGGCTGTGGTGGTCTGGGAGCACTCAGTCTCCATCCTCCCCCAGGTCCTTGTCCCACCTCTCCCAGCCCCACTGAGCCAAAGGACCACTGCAGTCACCATTGCATGTCAGCCTCAGCCTGCTTTCTCCTGACCCAGGTTTTCTCCAGCCACATTTGGAATGGGAGAGCAACTCCACCTTCTGTTTGAATTGGAATTTGGTTTATAAATATAGAAAAGTGGACAGCTGTCAGGACGGATTCCTCCCTCCAGCAGCTCTCCTCTCCCTCTGCACAAGGGAATGGCAGGGTTGGGAGTGCAAGTGCTGGCTTGATGCTTAGCCCATGCTAGCCTGGCTCCAGGGGTATTTTCAGGCCACAGCTCCCTGCCAGCAGGGATGAGGGGACCTGGCCTCTCCTGCAGTCCTGGGCACAGCCACACAAGTATGGGGGGAGCACAGACCTACCTTTGGGGCCAAACAGCGTGGCGTAGCAGGGCTTGTGGCAGAAGGGCTTCCCATCATGCTGGGGAGAGAGAGGGGAGTGTTAGAGTGCCAAGCAGAGGCCATGATTCTCTTGGGATCACTTCCATCCCCACCGGTGTTCAGAGACCACCATGGCCATGCCTACACCCCAAATTGCACCCAGCCTGTGGGTCCGCCAGCAACAGCCTAATCCAACCCTAGCACTCAAGGATTCTGCCTGCATCAAACACTCCGGCTGTTCTGCACATGCCATAAAGCGGGGCTGGAGCACCAGTACCCTGTGGGACTTCAGCTGAGAGGCATCTCCAAGCCTCAACCCAGCTGTGTGCCACCCAGTAAGGTATCACTTTGCCTTAAGCATCCAGTGCACAGTCAGGCCGTTATTAGGCACACAGAGCATCATGGCTACCCCCAAGCTCTGCCTCCCCCTTGCCTTGGTCTGAGATCAGAGTCCCCATGCGGGCACTGGTCCCAGCCCAGCTGCTATCAGCCTCACTATCAGCTGGGGGCGATTTATCACAGGAAGGCATGAAGCAGGCGATAAGCCCCAGAGCTCCCTGTAGGCATTTCTCATGGGCCAACAGGAACTGAGTCCAAGAGAAAAGAAAGGGCCTTTCTAGCTGAGGCAGGGGGCCAGCAGGGATACCACGCACACTGCCCCATGTGGAAAAGCCACATGGACCCAGGAAAGAACACACTGCATTGCCTGCTTGGCTCCATTCAGCATCTCAGCCCTGCTTCCTGCCCTGTGCTCCTGCCTTCCATCCCCTCTGCTGCAGGGCAAGGATGCCTCGCACAAAGTGGCAGGGCGGTAGCTGGGCAGAAGCTTTGTCCCTTCCCTTGCCTCCTGGAGCAGTGCTGCGATGAAGGCAAGGGCTGGGAGCAGCCAGGGCAAGGCTGGGGAGCGAGCAGGCGGAGGCCTGGTTTTTTTCATCGCCAGCCGTAAACATCAGTGCATTCGCCGCGTTACCATGCCAGGGGGAGGTAAACATTTAGCTGGTCTCCCCACGACACCTTTCCAACCCAGTTGGACATGCTGGCTTGAAACGAGGGAGAAAAAGCAGCGAAGGGCCAAATCCTGCTTCTGGCACTGTCAGTAGGGGCTTGGCTGTCGTCCCCACGGAAGCAGAATCTGGCTTTATATGGAGAAACAGCAACCCCC